TATCCTTCCTGGGCCCCATCCTGGGCAATGCATTTCCAAGGCGGCCCTTGTCGATGATCCTCAGGACGTGTGGAAGCCCAATGTGTGTTTACCCCCTTCAGCCCAACCAGTAGATCATTACATCGCCTGCGTTGTATCGAAGGACCTCGATGGACAAACACACGTTGGGGCTAACACGCGTTCTGCGGATCATCGACCTTGGGGCACGGGACGCCAGCTGTCGGCGCAGCCCCGAGAGCCCCCCCTGCCGCCCCGAGCTTGAGCCCCCTAATACGGGCTTTGCCTCTGGGCCCTGCGCAGCTCTGCCGACAGACCCGGGCTCTTTCGGAGTTTGTGCCTGTTCCTACTCTTACGTCGGGCGTGTCCCTCTAGGGGACGAGTATCCAAAAGTAGTTAAAAATTATCGTGGCGAAGGACCCCCCCATATGCAGCTCTGAGTACCGCGTTGTGGGTACGGCTCTCGGTGGAGCTCCCTATGGGGCCACGATCCTCGTGAGGGGTGTGGCGAAATGGGCGGGAGGATGCATGCAAACCCTGCCGCTGGGGCCTTCGGTGGAGCTCACTATGGGGCCACGATCCTCGGCAGGGGTTTGCAGAAATCAGCGGGGGGACGCATGCAAACCCTGCTGCTGGGGCCTTTGGTGGAGCTCCCTATGGGGCCGCGATCCTCGTGAGGGGTGTGCCGAAATGGGTGGAGGGACGCATGCAAACCCTGCCGCTGGGGCCTTCGGTGGAGCTCCCTGTGGGGCCACGATCCTCGGCAGGGGTGTGCCGACATGGTGGACATGCGGCGAGCAGAAGCAGGAAAGGGAGGAGGGAGGAGGGAGAGGAGGGAGGGGGCAGCGGGGGAGGGAGGTGAGACGCGGGGCGCTGTCTCTTCAAAGCGAGGACCCAGCTCCACAGGATGGTTGGGAAATAGTCTGGGGACGATTTCTCGATATTTTTCTTTGGGGTATTTTTGTGTATTTTTGGTGTATTTTTCGTTGTTCGTCCAAAATCCGCCTGTAGGGGGACATGCCCGACCTAACCTTACTCCTCCGGATAACCTGGGTTCCCAGACATCCGGTGTCTCGATTTTATCGAGACGCGGGCCCCCGACCTCTCGACCACTTCCCCAGGACCAGCCTTTCCTCCCGCGCCGTTTTCTGGCGGCCCCAGGGGCCCGGAAAAAGGGCCTCGAGGGGCCGAGAATGGTGAAGAGCCTCCGCCTCGTTTTTTTGGTTATCGCCGGCGATGAGAATCGAAGAAGACAAAACAGCATAAGCATACACTGTCGACGGTCCGTGCGGATGTCTTGGATCTGCGCGCAGCGCCCCAAGTTTATGTTAATGCCGTCGTTGTTGTTGTTGTTGTTGTTGTTGTTGTTGTTGTTGTTGTTGTTGCTGTTGCTGTTGCTGTTGCTGTTGCTGTTGTTGTTGTTGAACATTATTAATTCTAAAGAATAATTATTGTTGGGACCCCTGGTGCACGGCCCCCCTGCGCCGCCTAGGCCGCAGCTACATTTTCATCATTTTCGTGAGGAAGCCTCAGGTAATTCGATGTGATCAAGATCCGGTTGTTTTGTTCCCCCCCGCTTTCCCTTGCAAAAAACACTATAAAATGACATTTCTTGTTCTAATATAATCAAATTTCAAGAATCCCTTGCAAAAAATAAGGTAAAGTGGACATTCGCGCGCGCAAGACGAAATCCTTCCAAAAGCTTAGTGTTCGGAGCGATTTTAACATAAAAACATCAAAAAACCAATGGTTTTTCAACAAAAAAATGTCAAAATCTCATCCCGCGCGCTCTTGCGGATTCGTAGGAAACCCAACACTTTTTAAACATTTCTGTCAAACGGGCTTTTGCGAGCAACTTTTTCGAACTTCTGCGACAACGGTTGCGCACCTGCCAGGGCCATCATCCCTGTCAAATAATACCATGCGGGACACATTCGTTTTTTCTTCGCGCGCGCACGCCGAAATCTCCAAAAACCATTGGGCTTCTTAAGATGTTCTGTGGAAGGCTTAACAACTTCTGTGGGTTAACAAGGCTTAACAACTTCTGTGGGTGTACGAACGTAGGCTTAACAACTTCTGTGGGTGTGTACTCCACGCCAGTGTAGTAGCCACGGTCGTCCGCAGGCCACGAAGTGAAGTGTCCGAACGTCATAGGGCGGGAAGCTGGGTGTGGGTGGTGGCGAAGAGTCGTGTGGATATTTGGTAGAGCTTGCACTGCCCCCCCACAAAGTGGGGGTATTGGCTGGCGTCGCATGAAAACCCTGGCACTGGTGAGAACACTGAGCGTTCGGGTAAAGTGATTGTTGTTGTTGTTGTTGTTGTTGTCGTTGTTGTTGTTGTTGTTCTAACATAACCAAACTTCAAGAATCCCTTGCAAAAAATAAGGTAAAGTGGACATTCGCGCGCGCAAGACGAATCCTTCCAAAACCTTAGTTTTTGTAGCGATTTTAACATAAAAAAAAAAAAAAACATGGTATTTCAAACAAAAAATGTCAAAATTTCATCCCGCGCGCTCTTGCGGATTTGTAGGAAACTCATCACTTTTTAAACATTTCTGTCAAACGGGCTTTTGCGAGCAACTTTTTCACGTGCTTCGAACTTCTCCAACAACGGTTGCGCACCTGCCAGGGCCATCATCCCTGTCAAATAATACCATGCGGGACACATTCGTTTTTTCTTCGCGCGCGCACGCCGAAATCTTCAAAAACCATTGGGTTTCTTAGGAATTTTAGCACCGCGCAACATAAAATCATACGAATCGCACCGTAGGTCCTCGAAAAACATCTGTACGAATTTTCAAAATTTCTACCCGCGCGCGCTGTCCGAATCCTAAAAAACCAATGGTTTTTTCAACATTTATGTTACATGAGCTCGCGCGAGCTACTTTCGCAAGCTCTGTACCCATGCGCCAGTGTAGTACCCATGCGCCAGTGTAGTAGCCACGGTCGTCCGCAGGCCACGAAGTGAAGTGTCCGAACGTCATAGGGCGGGAAGCTGGGTGTGGGTGGTGGCGAAGAGTCGTTTGGAAATGTGGTAGAGCTTGAACCGGCCCCCCCACAAAGTGGGGGTATTGGCGGGCGTCGTATGAAAACCCTGGCACTGGTGAGAACGGAGTGTCCCCACGTGCTAGTAATTGTTGTTGTTGTTGTTGTTGTTGTTGTTGTTGTTGAACATTATTAATTCTAAAGAATAATTATTGTTGGGCCCCCTGGTGCACGCCCCCCCCCCCGCGCCTAGGCCGCAGCCACATTTTCATCATTTTCGTGAGGAAGTCTCAGGTAAAACGATGTCATCCAGATCCGGTTGTTTTGTTGACGCCCGCTTTCCCTGTCAAAAAACACTATACAATGACATGTCTTGTTCTAACATAACCAAACTTCAAGAATCCTTTGCAAAAAATGACACGAAGTGCACACTCGCGCGCGCAAGATGAAATCCTTCCAAAACCTTAGTTTTCGTAGCGATTTTAACATAAAAACATGAAAAACCCAATGGTTTTTCAAAAAAAAAGTTTCAAAAATTCATCCCGCGCGCTCTTGCGGATTTCTGAGGAAACCCAGCAATATCTTTGTCTTCATTTCTGTCAACGGGCTCTTGCGAGCAACTTTTTCACGTGCTTCGAACTTCTGCAACAACGGTTGCGCGCATGGCAGGGCCATCATCCCTGTCAAATAATATCATATGGGCACATTCGTTTTTTCTTCGCGCGCGCACGCCGTCGTCGTCGGCCGCGGGGCCCTGAATAGTAGCCACGGTCGTCCGCATGCCACGAAGTGAAGTGTCCGAACGTCATAGGGCGGGAAGCTGGGTGTGGGTGGTGGCGAAGAGTCGTTTGGAAATTGGTAGAGCTTGAACCGGCCCCCCCACAAAGTGGGGGTATTGCCCGCCTCCTGTGAAAACCCTGGCACTGGTGAGAACGGAGTGTCCCCAGTCTTAAATGATTGTTGAACATTATTAATTCTAAAGAATAATTATTGTTGGGGCCCCTGGTGCACGGCCCCCCTGCGCCGCCTAGGCCGCAGCTACATTTTCATCATTTTCGTGAGGAAGCCTCAGGTAATTCGATGTGATCAAGATCCGGTTGTTTTGTTCCCCCCCGCTTTCCCTTGCAAAAAACACTATAAAATGACATTTCTTGTTCTAATATAATCAAATTTCAAGAATCCCTTGCAAAAAATAAGGTAAAGTGGACATTCGCGCGCGCAAGACGAAATCCTTCCAAAACCTTAGTGTTCGCAGCGATTTTAACATAAAAACATCAAAAAACCAATGGTTTTTCAACAACAAATTGTCAAGCTTTCATCCCGCGCGCTCTTGCGGATTCGTAGGAAACCCAACACTTTTTAAACATTTCTGTCAAACGGGCTTTTGCGAGCAACTTTTTCGAACTTCTGCGACAACGGTTGCGCACCTGCCAGGGCCATCATCCCTGTCAAATAATACCATGCGGGACACATTCGTTTTTTCTTCGCGCGCGCACGCCGAAATCTCCAAAAACCATTGGGCTTCTTAAGAATTTTAGCACCGCGCATCATAAAATCACACGAATCGCACCGTAGGTCCTCGAAAAACACCTGCACGACTTTTCAAAATTTCTACCCGCGCGCGCTGTCCTAACAACTTCTGTGGGTGTGTACTCCACGCCAGTGTAGTAGCCACGGTCGTCCGCAGGCCACGAAGTGAAGTGTCCGAACGTCATAGGGCGGGAAGCTGGGTGTGGGTGGTGGCGAAGAGTCGTGTGGATATTTGGTAGAGCTTGCACTGCCCCCCCACAAAGTGGGGGTATTGGCTGGCGTCGCATGAAAACCCTGGCACTGGTGAGAACACTGAGCGTTCGGGTAAAGTGATTGTTGTTGTTGTTGTTGTTGTGGTTGTTGTTGTTGTTGTTGTTGTTGTTGTTGTTGTTGTTGTTGTTTCTTCGTCTTCTTCGTCATATGCTTCTTCTTCTTCTTCCAGAAAAAGCTGCCTCCCGCGGGCGGCCCAGAGCGAGCCGCCCCCCGTAGGCACTGCCGGCCGCCGCGCGCCTGGGGGCGCTGCTGCACCTGGCGGGGGCGCTGGCCGACGGGCTGCTGGGAGCCCTGTCCCGGGACCTGTTCGAGCGGGCCTACGGGGCCAAGGTCTGCGGCCACCACCCCCTGTCCACCCAGAGGGAGCGAGGGAGCCTCAAGTCTGCAGGTGAGTCACCGGCAGACCTAAGCGAGTGGGGACAGCAGGAGGGTGGACCGAGACGCCAACCCTCCTGCGAGACTGGCACCGCCGAGCGGTGCAAGAGGAACCCCGGGAGCAGGCGTCGGGGTGACAGCCACATGGCTCCGAGCACGAGCGTGCGGCCGACGAAATGACGACCAGGGTGAGATTGGGGAGAGAGGTGGTGGAGAACCTCCCTCGCCTCGTCCCTCCTCCCCTCTCCCTCCCCTCTCCCTCCTCTCCCTCCTCTCCCCTCTCTCCCCCCCCTCTCTCTCTCCCCCCTCCCTCCCCTAAAAGAGGAAAAAGGGCATAGACATAGACTTTTGGCGCTCCGCGCGGATTTCTTGGATCCGCGCTTGGACCTCCCCTGTCGACGTCGTAGGGGGGCCAGGGTGCACTCCCAGTGGCTGACGAGACCATCGTCGCTCGTCGACGTCGTCGTCGCTCGTCGTCGTCGTCGCTCGTCGTCGCTCGTCGTCGTGGTCGTCGCCGCCGCCGCCGCCGCCGCCGCGCCGCCGTCGCCGTCGCCGTCGCCGTCGCCGTCGTCGTCGTCGTCGTCGTCGTCGTCGTCGTCGTCGTCGTCGTCGTCGTCGTCAACGAGCGTACAGTCACCCCGCACAGTAAGGATGGGCAGTTATCCCAAGGGTACCCTTGCATCCTTGCCTCCTCGGCCCATCCTTGGCCACTTTCGTTGGCGCGCCCCGATCGAACAGCTTCGGAACTGTCCGCGGCCTTCCCTGTCTCAAGGCAGAAATGCCATAACCCTGAACTTTTCGCGCTTCGCGCGGATTTCTTGGATCGGAGCGGACCGTCGCAAGTTTATGCTTATGTAGTTTTTCGTCTTCTACTGTCCACCCTGACCCGCTCTCAGACCTTCGGCGTATCTCCGAAGCGTGCAGAACAGTTCCGTGCGGAGGTGCTTCGCCATGTTCGGCCTCTAGCGGTCCTCGCAAGGCCCTGGGACCGTCAACTGAGCCGACTCGGGATGAGGAGCCGGTCCCCCGAGTGCAGTGGAAACCCATGTCAAGGAACACCCTGCTTGCCTTCCGGGTGCCCTGAGTTTCTTGGGTTTCCACGGTTTTGCGATGGAAGGCGTGACGTTCCCACACCCAGAATCAGTGGACGTCCTGAGTCGAGCTCCTACCCCAGACCCCCGACGTCATGATTTTTCATAATGTTGGTCCCTAGAGGTCTGGACCCCTTCCCAGGGACAGGTTTTTTCATCCCGAGTCGTTTTTTGACTGTCCCGAGGCCCAGTAAGGGCCCCCGGAAGCCGAAAATTTAGAAAAACCTCCCGTCGTGACTTTTTGCACATCGCGAGGAGGTCTGGGACTGTAAGGGTCCAGACTTCAGGGGGCCACGTCGTGACAAGACACGACGAGGTCGGGGGGCGATGCCCCGGGACCTGCTCGAGAAGAGCCTGCGGGGCGAAGGTCCGCGGCCTCCCCCCGCCCCTGCGGCCGCCAACAAAGAGCCCTTGAGGCCTTGGCGTCGCAGTCTGCTTGCAGAGGGCGATTTTGTGGCCTTGCCCCCAGAGATCCGACGCTCCCCCAAAAATTGGAGCGGGCGGCTTTTTTGGCTGTCTTCGGCTTCCACGGGGGCCCTGGCCGGGCTTCCGGGCCGTCAACCAACAGCTGCGCAGGACGACGAGCCGGCCCTGCAGGGAAGCGGTCCAGACCTCCGGGGCCCACGCATTGAAGCAGTTGGAGCAGCCGGGTGTCTTGGGAGCTTCTCTCTGCGAGGTCCGAGCTGCATTTTGTGATCGTTCTCTTATTCATTGTTTTGCCGATCGGCGCGGGCCCTCGCACCCTTCCCTGGTTCCGGAGTCGAATCGCCCCCCTGCGAAACTCTTTTTTCGTTGTTTTTTCCTTTTGCCCTGCTTTCTTTTTTTCCGCAGCGATTTTTTTGGGTTTACCTACCTCGCTTTGCGAAGCTGAGTTGGCCGCGTGGTGGTGTGCTCGATTTGCGAACCTCGCTGCCTTTGGTTCGTGACCACGTGGGGCGGGAGGGGGGGTATCCTCCACGCCTCCCCGTTGCTGCTGGCGCTAGGGGGGGGCAACAAAAGAAGAAAAATAACAAGAACAACCAAACATTTTTTTGTTTTTTGTTTTTTTGTTTTATCTATTTCTTTTGCCCCCCCCCCCAGGCGCCAGCAGTAACGGGGAGGGAAGGGAGGGGCCCTGTCCTCCCACGCTCCCCCCCCCCCTTTCCTCGCGCCCCCCTTCCTTCCTCCCCCATGTGCCTTGGGAAAAATCGGAGGACAGTACCTTTTTTTTGATCTCATACTGACCCCAGCCAGTAGTAGTATTGCATAAACGAAGTGGCAGCACTGTAACAGTCCTGTAGTAGTAGTAGTAGTAGTAGTAGTAGTAGTAGTAGTAGTAGTAGTAGTAGTTCTCAGGTCGTGCAGTGAAGATCATACCCTACAGTGTCTGCTGCAGTAGTCGCACTGTAGTGTTGTATCAGAAGTACCCCACTATTGTAACACTCGAGTACAATAGTATAGCCGCCGAAATGTGCACTAGCTGTAACGCGGTAGGAATAGTGCTGCACTATTGTGGAGCAGTGCTGCTCTTGTAGTAGTGGCGCTGTAGAAAATACTCTAGTACAGTACTCGCTGGAATAATAATCGACTGTTGCCTGCAGCGAATGCATTCGAGTATTGTAGTAGGAATACTCCAATGCCGCACCCCGCGCTGTTGTAGTAGTCTGGTACTGTAGTGCTGTAGCGGTGGCACTGCAACAGTCGTAGCACAGTACTGTAGCAGTCGTGCTCGAGTAGTGCTACCCCAGGACTGTACTAGTGGTATTTTAATACCGTGCCCAGCCATACTAGTATTGTATCAGTAAAGTGGCAGCGCAGTAGTTATCCAATCAGTAGTAGTAGTAGTAATAGTAGTAGTAGTAGTAGTAGTAGTAGTAGTAATAGTAGTAGTAGTAGTAATAGTAGTAGTAGTAGTAGTAGTAGT